GGGTTTGAGTCTGTTTCTTTTTATTTTTTGTGTAAATAGTAGCTAGTAAGTAATAGTGCTTTAGGCAAAGCTTCACTTGGGCCTAACACATTTGCCTTTGACCTTATGGTTAGAAACAAATTGGTGTGTATAGGATGGTGATAGTTGTGACCTTGAGACTCTTGTGTTGACTAAACAATCATCAAGTGATTTTTCGGAACCATTTGCGTTGCTCAAATCTTAGCTAAGGTTGTTGTGGGCCCCCGAATCTGTCTCTTTAGCAATCTTATAGCTTGTGTATCATCAAGTGCTAAAAGGTTGTGTATTGTTGATAACGCATTTGAGTTGAGGCTAATGGTTAGTCCCAATTGATTCTTGATGAGGTTACTTTAGGACAGCTGAATTTTCCTTTCTTATATCTTGAGGAGGTAGGAATTACTTTGTTTGCTTGAGGACAAGCAAAAGCTTAAGTTTGGGGGAGTTGATAACTAGGGATTCTAGTATATTTTATGCTCCTTTTTGCTTGAGTTTTGGACTAAAAGTGTGTACAAGTGTCCCCAAAAGCTAACTTGTTGTGCTTGTTTGCAGTGTTTGGTCAAAAAGAGACAAGGATGTCATAACCAGCTCAAAAAGGAGTGAAATTTGCACAAGCCAAAGCTGAGTCAACTGAGCACTACAGCGAAAAATCAGCCGCGGACGCGAAGGACCTACCGCGACAGCAGTCCTTTTATCGCGGTCCGCGGTGGCAAGATTCAGAGAGATGCAATTATGGACTTCTCAAGTCACCGCTGACCGTGGTGCTTTTATGCGGAACGGTGACTTCACCGCGACAATGGTCCTTTTACCGCGGTCCGCGGAGAAGAGATTCAGAGAGTCAAAATTGAAGCTAAAACTAGAAGACCGCGGTCCGCGGTGATTTTATGCAACCGCGGTAGCCTCACCGCTGCAGCAGTCCATTTTTCGTTGTCAGCGGTACCTCCATCAGGAGCATTTTTGTCCGGAAAATTTAGCTTTGTATAAATACTTCTTTTTCGGATTTTTAGGTTATCTTATCCGTAGTTGAGCACGTGAACGCCGTATTTTACCTATTTTGAGTAATTTTATAGCTTGTTTAGCAATTAATCTTAGAATCTTATCTTGTAATTACATTTTATGGGTTATTCTTCATCTCAATATATGATTTCTTCTTCAATTATGAGTAGCTAAACTCATTAGCTAGGGTTGTGGCTCAACCCTAGTGTGGGTATTTAATGGGTCTCTTATTTTAGAGCTTAGATGTTTATGGGTGAATGATATTTGGCCTGTTTTGTGGTTTTAATGTTGAATTGGTGGTTGCAAACACTAATTTGTGCCTTTTTTACTTAGGCTCTTCTTGAGAAAGAGAGTCCAAGTTTAGGAAATTCAGGCCAACAAGGAATCGGGGTGCATTCTATCTCATTCAAGAGATTGATAGCCCCAATTAAAGGATTAAACCTAGAGATAGTAATACCCGACTTGAGCCGATTTTGCTTGCACAAATTTGAACACCCAATTGGACTTGAGAAAGCCAACTAGGGCAAGGTCACTCAAACTACCGAGAGGTATAGAGTGAGTAGTTTCGTGCATTGGCTATATCACGATCCCAGCTATAACAATTTGCCCTAAGTTTTAGATCTTGTTAGATACTCACCTAGGAGTAAGTCACTTTCCTAGTGCCTCTTTACCAATTTAGAAAACCCTACAAAAATATCTACTTAACTTAATTTCGTGCATCATTAGTATTAAATTAGAAGTAACAAACAAACAAGAATGATTGGAAGTGCAATTAAGAACATTGCATATTGCTAGATTAGATAGGAATCCAATTCCAAACCTTTCTTAGCTCTCTGTGGATTCAATCCTGACTTATCGGGTACATCGACCGCTCTCTCTCCACTCTATAGTGGTGTAGGGTTGGCTCCGATCACATGCATAGGAGAAAACCAGAACTGGACACCAGCAAATCTGCAGCAACCTTCTAAGTCGAATTTCCATCCGTTAACCATCCGAAATCCACCCGAGGCCCCTAGAACCTCAACCAACCCTACCAACAAGTCCTAAAGTATGATACGAACTTAGTGGAGCCCTCAAATCACATCAAACAACATCAAAAATACAAATCGCACTCCAATCAAGCCTATCGAAACTATGAAAATTCCAACTTCTACAAACAATGCCAAAACCTATAAAATCACGTCCGATTGATTTTGCACACAAGTCACATTTGACATTACGGACCTACTCCAACTTTCGGAATCGGAATCCGACCCCGATATCAAAAAGTCCACTCCCGGTCAAACTTCTCAAAATTCTACCAATTTCCAACTTTTACCAATTAACGCTAAAATGACCTACGGACCTCCAAATCAATCTCCGAACACGCTCCTAAGACCAAAATCACCATACGGAGCTATTGAAACCAATGAAACTCCATTCTGGAGTCGTCTTCACACAGGTCAAACTACGGTTAAATCTTACAACTCAAACTTCACACTTAAGGACTATGTGTCCCATTTCACTCTGAAACTCTCCGGAACTCGACACCAAGCACCCCCGGCAAGTCAAGTAACCATAAAATGAAGTAAAGGGAATAATAAATAGGGGATCGGGGCTAATACTCTCAAAACGAACTGCCGGGTCGTTACATCAAATTGATTCTCAATAAGCGAAACATAGTGTTTAAAAGACGGGAGCGTTAAACATGGCTTTTAAATAAACTCATAAAAATAAAAGATTTAGCATCTTTTACAAGTATAAATAATGCAATACTATTAAATTTACTTTAAAATTTAAATCAATTATAACGTCTTAACTTTCAAACAATTAAAAATTATATTTTCTTTACAAATATTATCAAGCTACTCATTTTATCTTTCTAAAAGTAATAATACTTATTAAATTTTAGCAATCCTAAAATTTTAAATTATTACTCCTTTATGGTAAATGTAAAATCGTTTTTAAATAGTAAAATAATAAATATAAAAGAGATCTACCAAGTAAAGATATAAAATTTGATTTATCTATTTTCAGAAAAAATATTCAAATGATACTCACCCTCACAATATTCTCAATTAGTAAATATACAATATTATGGTTTATTATTTGAGTTGTTCACAATTTTTATATTCCTATAGATGGAAAGAACTTTAGTCATTCATTTATTAAAGAATTTTGATAGTCAACAGTGCTAATTAGTGAATTTGACACATGATTTGCACATGAATTTTTGCGCGAGCCCCGAGCGTTAAGCGTTAGGCGTGTTTAAGGCGTACAATCGGGCCCTTAGGGGCGTAAGTCTCACATAATTAAGCCTCACATGAGCCTAGGCGTTTTGATAGTGCACCGTTTCATAGCGAATCCCGAGGCGAGTTCCAAAAATAACTTTTAAAATATTGGCGAAACATAGGTGGGCATAGTTTGGGAAAATTCGAAATCCAAAATTTTCGGTTTGGATCTTCGGATTACGGATTTAATTTTTAAAATTTTGGATTTCGGATTGTATATTGGATTTGGTACTTCGGATTTTTGGATATCCGAAAATTAGAAATTTTTATACTTTATATTTAGTCCATTATCCATATGTCAATAATAATAAGTTCAATACCCTACCCATTAGATATTATCTCATATATTCAATATTAGTTATTAAGTTACTGTCAGAATACTTTCTATTTGGATACGATTTTACCATTGCTACTTATAATCGGCCGTATTAATGTCTCTGTTGTATTTTATTAATAATAATTTTATTACTTGAATACTTTATTTGGATGATTACCGTAAGAATGAGGAATTTTTCATGCAATTCAACATCAGTACTTCATTTGGATATTTATTTTTGGAAAAGGTAAAAACATTTCAACTTATACGCTCAAAACCGAAAATTCTTTATATCCAAACCGATTAATCCGAAACGGAATTTAAAAAATTCGATCTAATCCGTACTTATTTAAATTGGATTTGGATTGCCATTTCTTTAATCCGAAAATCAAAAATCCAAACCAAAATTCTTATATCCAATCTGAAATTTCCAAGCACCCACCCGGCGAAACAAGAAGAAGAATAAAATAGAATGGAGAGAGTATTTCTTTAAGGTAAGAAAAGTAATCATTTTGGAATGCGCCTGGGGTATTGACATGTTATGGTATGACTAGAAAATACGCGCAGACACACACACTGACACAGTGCCACGGGCCACCAGTGATGGGCATTTACACTCCGTTTGGATCATTATTACTTATCGTTTTATAATGTATTGTATTGTATTGTACTGTATCGTATTGTAACGTTTTGATGGATACAACGTTTGGATAGATTGTATCGTTTAGTGTTGTTAAATAACATTTTTATTGTTTGGTTTGACTGTATTGTATTGTACTGTACTGCTATATTTACTAAAATACCCTCAATTATTTTAAATACGATGCTTATTAAGAACTACTCATAAAAATAATTTATTTATTTGACCTCCCCATCTTCCTCACAGGTAATCATCATTTTACCATAATAACGAAAGCACCAAATTGATTTCATACAAAAAAAAAATGTATATCCCCATCAAAACAGAGAACAACGGACCTCTGTTCCTGTAGTTTGGAATGGCAGAAGCCTAAGTAAATTGTATATGTAATTAAAATTAGCAAAAAGTTTGCAAAGATCATAGATAAGATAAAAATACAGAAAAAAAAAAGAGAGGGGAAATTAACCAAAAAAATAAACGGCAGAAGGATGGAGACAAAGTACGTAGTTGGGTGAAGTATAATATAAATAATAGGGTAAAGGGTAAAATTGAAATATAGAATAATTAGTGTGGGCGTAATTAAAAAGAAAAATACGGAATAATACTACCATACCAATTTGGTTGTTTTATAAAATAGGGCTTTTCATTATTCCGAAATAATGAATTTAACAATATGATACAATTAATTTTATATGAATAATCAAAACAAATATTATATTTGAGATAACAATATAATACAATACAATACAATGGCTAACCATCCCAACAATACGTTAGTTCCTCTCTCTCTCTCATACGCAAACAAACAACCGCGCTCTCTCCCTCTGTAGCGATAAAGTCTACCGTTTCGAGGAAAGATTCTCCCTTGAATCCTTCGAGAAATTGCGATACTCTTTTTGCTCTTATATCATTCGGTCCATCAAACACCTTTGTCTGTTTTCTTAAATCTGTATCTTAGGGCTTGTAGTCAATCAAAAGAATGTTCTTGGTCGATTGGTTCTACGGAGTTCTCGCATCGCTTGGTCTGTGGCAGAAAGAGGCTAAGATCTTGTTCTTAGGCCTTGATAATGCCGGCAAAACTACCTTGCTTCATATGTTGAAAGACGAGGTCTGTTGCACTTTTTGCATTCATTTTAGTGTAACTATCTGCAATCAAAATTCAATTTTGCATCTTTTCCTGTGTTTGATGAAAGGGAAACACATGTGTAATTAGTTGATTTTGTGCCTGGACTCAAGCCTTTAAACGGTTGTCATGTTCTATTCCCAATTCGGTATATTCTAAGAGAACGTGTAATTCTGTCTTAAAGACAAATTACTGAATATTTGAATGATATAGAACCAATTAAAGGTAGCCTGACATCAACTAGTTTGGGATTGAGGTGTGGTAGTTGTTTTTTTATTTTTATTTTTCTTTTCATGCTATGTTATAATTTTCATTGAGTACGCTGAAGGGCTTAAAGATCCAATTATCTGTCTAATTTTTGTTTCGGCTTTCCTATTTATTATCTCTCTGAATTGTGGCTTGTCAATGATTTTTTGGGCCTTATTCTTAAAGAGTCAGTATTAGTATTTTAATTATGTTGAGCTGTTTGCTTTTGTTTGGTGGACCTGAGCGATGTTGAGCCTGAAAAAGTTAATGTTTTGGAATTTGGCAGAGATTGGTTCAACATCAGCCAACACAATACCCGACATCAGAGGAGCTTAGTATCGGGAAAATTAAGTTCAAGGCATTTGACTTGGGTGGGCATCAGATTGCTCGTCGAGTGTGGAAAGATTATTACGCTAAGGTATTTTCCTTTATGCCATTTGTAGTGATGTATCACATTAGTGATTGCAGTTCTAATGGTGTATCTTTTTTTTTTTTTTTTTTTGTGGGGGGGGGGGGTTGGGGGGGGGGAAGTCTAATGGTGTATCCTGTTAACGCTTGACAAGTGTTTAGCTACCTGTGGTGGAAGAATTTCATGTCTGGGAGAGTGTGTCTTATCATTGCAAAACATAACTTTCTTGAATTCCACTGCCAGAGTTTTGCTCCCTCTGCTACATTGTTTTGAAATGTTTCGACATGCATCTACAAAGAATACTAACACTAATAACACATATAAAGAGGATAATGTAACTATTAGACAAAATTCACAAGCTTGATGATACTGCCTTTGGTTCCCGTGGAGGTATTCAATAGTACCTTACCATACTCTTCCCCAGTATCCGAATTAATGCATATGTATTCATTGGAAGAATAACTTGGAATAGTAATACGTGATCTGTGAGTGTCGCTGTTCTTTTTTTATCAAGTATATGAGTGTCTGTGCCTTGTTTTAAAAGTTCGTGATTGGGCTGACAGCAATGTTTCTTCAATAAGTTCCACTGTCGAATAAGACGACAAGTTATTCTCCTTCCCATTTACTTCTTCTTCCTCTTCTTTATGTCCATCTGCTTAGTGAATGGCAAATAGAAGAGATTCTCTGGACCAGCGCAAAGTAGCTCATCGAGTTCTTTGTTTTGTACTTGTTCTATTTGTCGTGATTCTAGAGTCTTGCTTGTGTCTAGGTATGATAGGTCTACATTTGATCTTTGATAGATAATGAAATTCTCAGAATTGCCAGCAGTTGATGCCACGTGATAGAGCTTGGTATAACCCGTGCTCTGTTTCAATATTCTGTCGTTGAAGCTTGTGTGAGCAGATATTCCGAAGTATGAATTTCTGGTTAGTTACAGAAAACTATCAAAGAGAAGTCTTAGATGGAACTTTGTTGATTGGTATTGTGTATCCAATTTTTTTTATAAATAATCTGTAACCTATCACACCTAAATTACAAACTTCTCTATCGAAATAACCAAGTTATGTTTGAGAAGTATTACCACCAAAAGAGAGGGAGAGGAGAGAGTGCGCAGACTATAAGGAAGTTCAATTCTTTAGGATTTTGTGCTATGCAGGAAACTTTAGGATTATTTGTGTATTCTGATTGCTGTTAATGCAAAATTACTTATCTGGAAAATATGTCATTTCGTCCCGTGCTCTTTTTTGTCCTTCTCTAACAAGCTGCAGGAACTATTTGGCTAATCTTATGGTGCTTTAAACATGCAATTTCATGTGAAGGTGGATGCTGTTGTTTATCTGGTGGATGCCTATGACAAAGAAAGGTTTGCCGAATCTAAGAAAGAGCTGGATGCTCTCCTCTCTGATGAGTCGTTGGCCAGTGTTCCGTTTCTTATACTGGGTAACAAGATAGACATCCCGTATGCTGCATCAGAAGATGAATTGCGTTACCACATGGGGCTAACGGGCATCACAACTGGCAAGGGAAAGGTAAACCTGGCGGAATCCAATGTTCGTCCCCTTGAGGTATTCATGTGCAGCATAGTCCGCAAAATGGGATATGGAGAAGGCTTCAAATGGCTCTCTCAATACATTAAATAACACATGTAGGAAGTGAAATATTGTCATTTTGTTTTGCTTATGCTTTTGTACTGGATATGAGTTGGAACGTCTGTTTGAAAGCACTGTTGATTATGCTTCTCTTGTTCTAGCTTTCTAGGAATATGGTGAACGAAAGGATGTTCAAGATTTCTTGTTACATAACAAAATGTTTTACTGAAACTCTCAACCATTATTTTGTTTGGCTAACAGACAATACTGAACACCCTCGGCTGAGACATAAACCTTACATTTATTTTGAACTCACAGGGAAGTTCCAATTCTTTGCTGTCTTGACAAGTGCCAACGTAATAAAAAAAGTTGCTTTTCGGAAAATAACAACAAAAATAACACTAACAAATTTTTGTTACATCTGAGAATTATCTGTCAAGTAATCATATGGAATGACGAGAGCAATATAATATTGAAACCATCCATCCATCTATCTATATTATTATAAAAGCACGAATAATTTATGCTAAATGTTGAACGACTAAAATATCATCGAAATGTTGATAGACTTTTATAACCTTAAATATTTATATAACTTGAGGATACAATTTTAAATTACCTAAGGTCGAAATTCTTTTCCCATTTAAACTACACTTGACAAGCCTACAAAGTAGATTTTGGGTCAAACTAACTTGGAATTTATTTGAATAAGTGCTTCAACGTGGATATTGAGCACAATTATGAAAGAATTAAGAAAAATTGAACATAATTTGAGAATTCACTATTGTGACCACTTTGAGAATATTCTGCTCACGAATATTCAAGTGTTGCTGCTACCCCTTTTTTTTTTAAGTTGTTATTAAATTTTATACATAGTGAGTAACAATTTAGAATATCTATTCAACCGAAATTTATAACTTTCGATACGCACTTCGTAATATTTCACAATGATATTTTAAACTACTTTACCTCTTCACTTGATTTTTTATTTATGTCAAGGGAATTTAACAACTTATACATAATTAAAAAAAAATAGTTTTGCTCTATTTGTAAATATAATTTCAAACAAAGGAGATTTACTTGAGACCATATTCTTTATCCTTGCTCCGCCACTAAAGATATTCCTGCATCGCAAGAACATAGAGACTAATCGATATCTATATCTATCTATATTATTAAAAAACACGAATATTAAAACACTAAATATTAGTAGAGAAAAATATTCCTGAAATATTAACTGACGATTATACCCTTTAAAGGTTAAATTATTCCTTGAAGTATTTAACTCCGTACAAAATTGTATTATTTGTGATTCTGACTATTGCTCATGAGTTTGAAACCAACTAAGATTTTACCTCTAATTCACTAATAAAATTCCACGTTGATTTGGATAAACTCTATTCTGATTCTTGTTTAAATACTAAATCACTTTGCATGGTCAAACGCGGTTTGAAAGTAAAATATTATATGCCAATAATTTACCACTCATAAGGCTGAATCAGACTCGAGGAGTCTTCCATAGCAGAAGTTACATGGAATTAAAATCTTTTTACAAATTTGAATCATTTTGGTACATAGCCAAACATTAATCCGCTTTCATCTAAAATATGTTTGCTCTCTAATGACGGCTCTATTTAAAAAGCTCAATATGTAAATCGTCGCCACGAGGGTTTAAGAGCTTGACCTTTTTTTTGATAAAAGGATATCAATTATATCTCCTTTTTTTTCTTGAATGCTATTTTTTCAGTAATCTCCATACCATGTGTGCAAATTTCAATATAAGTATTGTTGCGTTATTAAGTAATTTTACAATTTTAATTGCTACATGTTTCGTAATATTTGACACAATCAAGTTAATGAGAATTATTTGACGATCATATTTTACTATTTTTTTGTACGAATTATATAATGCTTGACTTGAGATATTCGTGCAACGCACGAGTATAGAGACTAGTATACTATATTAAAAGTACGAATGCTCAAAGCGAAATGTCGTTACTTTTTTTTACCCTTTTAGAATGTAGTTCACACTAGACAAAATAGTCATTTGATTATTCTCCTAGCTAATATTTAGGAGTTTGAAATTGAATCACATTTTATTTCTTTAATCTTTCCTTATTTGAATTAAGTGAGAAGTCCTTATATTTGAGCTTTAAAATCATTAAAATTTTACCTTATATAAATTCTATAATTAAAGTATGATTGAATAATACTGGAATCTTTATGCCTATAAATAGTCTCTAATTAAACGCTATTTATAAGCTCAAAAGAGATTGTTTAATTGTGCTAAATTTTAGGTGAGCAATTATTATTTACACAAAATAAAATAAAGAAAAGATTAAAGAAAGGGGAAGCATTTTGTTTGGTCGTTTATTTCAATTCTAATTAAATTGTAAATGCTCTGAGTAGTCTATGTGAGATTGGTCCATTGACTATTAATTTTATTCTTCGATCAATAATTTGCTTAGATATAAATATTACTATACATTTTAAAACATAATTAAATATATAATTACAAAATATTTAATAATAGCAAAGAGAAAGAGAAAAAAATGATTGACAAAAATCATTTACACTAAGTATAAAGTTTAAAAGTTCGAATATTTATCATTTGAAAATAGATCTTTGAGTGGATAAAAACTGTTATAAGTAAATATTTAATATATGATATGACCTAATATTAATAATTGGAATCCTCTAAATTATTTTTTTAATCTTTTTAAGGAATAATTGAGTATTTAAATAAACTAATTAGCAAAATAATCCATTTTCATTCTTCCCAAATTCATCATATAGGCAAAATAATTTTTAAAGTTTACACAATCTTAGAATACAAAATTATTTACACAAAAAGATATTGGCGATAAAAGAAATTAGAAAATAAAACAAAATCGGTTATAGTTTTAAGAATTAAATAGGTTAAAATGCAAACTTAAAGAAATGATATCTTTCCATAGTGAGAAGATATTGAATTTAACTATTGTGTCAATGTGATAATATTTACTTTCATCATTTATAAAATATATTATATTTTATATTAACGTTAATGTATATAATTTTAATTGAATAACACTACACATACACGTATACTAATACTAGTAATATAAAAAAACAATTCTAAATTGGAAGAATAATAGCCACGGAAGGACTACTCAATTACAAAGGGTACTGACGTGTTGGCACTAGGGATGTTGATAAAAATCCGAAAAATCGAACCAAACCGAAAACCAAACCAAACCAAACCAACCAAAAAAAATCGATACTTTTTGGTTTGGTTTGGTTTGGTTTTGAATTTTAAAAACCGATCAAATTTGGTTTGGTTTTGATTTTAATCAGAAAAAACCGAAAAAAACCGAACCAAACCGATTATAGGAGTAGCTATTTCAAATTTATTATTACACCTATATATATGTATATTTTTATACAAAGTTTCAAAAATTTAATGGTAAATGTTGATAGTTTGCACTTTTAGTATAGTTCTTTACCTTTACATTCTAGTTTGATTGGTGGTTTTCTTTTGTTAAGTGTAAGAATCCATTTCGTGTTAAAAATAATATATTTTTAATTGAGTCCTAAAATTATTCATCACTATTTGACTCAATTATCATCAATATTTCTTGGTAAATAATAGATTTCTCAAAGGGCAATTGATTTGATAGTGCTACGTTAAAAATATGATCGCCGGAATATGTGTTTGGTAGTGTATGTCTTATATTTAAGAAAAAACCGACAAATAACCGAAAAACCGACAAAACCCGACATAAACCGAATCGAGAAAAAACCGACTTAATCGGTTTGGCTTGGTTCTAATATTTGAAAAACCTACTTACTTGGTTTGGTTTCTTTTAAGGAAAAAATCGATCCAAACCGAACCATGAACACCCCTAGTTGGCACTTTGGACGAATTTCGTACGAGAAAGTTGGGAAAATACCTTTACCCCATAGTAAAATTCTTTTTAACTAGAAAAGCAGCTTCCGCCAAAACAAGATGGAGTAAAAGTCAGAGCGTGCCAAATAAAAGTGAACGGATGGAGTATTTATCAAGAAATTATACGGAACATATCTTAAATTATTATGGAGGACGATCCTAAAACATTGCGCATTCAATATAATTACTTATTTTACAATAAAGAAAACACACGGGGGATATAGCTCAGATGGTAGAGCGCTCGCTTAGCATGCGAGAGGTACGGGGATCGATACCCCGCATCTCCACTTTATTACATTCTTGAAGATTTATGAAATTTTAGAAAGAAATCGAACCCCAAGAAGCTCCTTATTCAGACAAAATATCATATCTGTCTGGTATTTATTTAAATAAATTCAGCTGAACACAATGAGAAGGCATTGGTAGTGAAGCTTTTTTCTTTTCTTCTTCTACAGATTTGTCACAGCTCGATGGACAGGTTAGAGGTAGAGGTTTTGAATCTCGGATAGTGATGCTTGCCTTTTGAATGAACCTGTTTAGGCTTCACCTCTTATCTTGGTATTGACTATTGATTATCCAAGTTTTTCAAGCTTGCAATTTTTCATCTGCTTCTAACAGGTTGCTCATTACTTTTTTGGTTCTCTTTTGTAGACTCTCTCCGAGTAAAAAGATTATATCTTGAAGGGTTTTTTTTTTTTTTTTGAAGTCCCAACCTCTTAACAACGTAAATATGACAAGTCTTACAATAAAATCACCCCATCTTTGTTGTGCTTGTGATCAGTATTGAGTTTGTTCTATGCATCAAACGAGATACTTTTCAACCTCGCTCTTGTCACTCTGGACCAAATTGTTCCCAACAGGCAGTTGTCATATGCGCTATTCATTGTTACTTTTGTGGTGACGATGTTTGCTATGTGACAATAACCCACAATGCAAACAGTACTGTATACCAAACACACCCTAAGTGAAAAACGACATTCACTTGGGGTGCGTTTGGTATGAAGGAAATTGTTTTACTTGGAAAATGAGTGATTTTATCACTTATTTTCTTATGTTTTGGTTGGTGATTGAAAAACTTTTTCCGTAAAATACTTTTTAGTGTTTGGATAGTGTCGAGAAAATATTTATTTTGGAAAATATATAATTTAGGTAAATACTATGGCAGACAAAATGTGTAAGGGTGGAGGGGGCCGGGGTAGGGGTTGGGGATGATGTGTGAGGGGCGAGGGGTGGGGGTGGGTGGGGAGTAGGGGTGAGGGTGGGGGGGGGGTGGAAAACGGTCGGATCGGGTCAGATATGGGCA